AAAGTTTATAATGAAGAAGTTCAAATGGGAATGTATGCAGATGACACTTTTGTATTTTTAGATGGTACAGCAAAATCACTAAGACGCTGCCTATGTATTTTTGATATGTTTTATGAAACGTCAGGATTAAAGTTAAATATAGAGAAAACGTCAGCTATCTGGTTAGGTAGTAAACAAGGTTCTAAAGAAATATTATGCCAAGAGATTCCACTTAAGTGGGAAACAAATTTCAAACTTCTTGGAATACACCTATCTTCTGATTTAAAAGATGTAGAATCTCTCAACTTTGAAAACAAAATTACTGAAATGCAAAATGTTATAAGTAGGTATAAAAGAAGAAATCTATCCTTAATGGGAAAAATTACTGTACTCAAATCCTTTGTGTTGCCGAAGGTAGTACATTTGTTCCTTGTCTTGCCAAAATTGTCAAACCCCTGCCAAACTAGAATCAAACAATTATTTACTTCTTTCATTTGGAACTCAACAGTTGCAAAAGTAAGTTTTTCACAAATTGTACAAGATTTTGACGACGGAGGCTTAAAAATGATTGATCCCAAGATCTTTGAACATTCACTCAAATTGACATGGTTGCAAAAACTTCAGAAATCTGGCACATGGCAAGACATTGCACTTAATATTTTAAATGTGAATTCAAAACGTGAACTCTTTGCATATGATTCCAAATCCTTAAAGAAAATAGAAGAAAATATTTCAAATAAATTTTGGAAAGATCTTGTTTACACATTTAGAATATACACTGAACAAAAAGAGAAAGAGGCAAAGAATGATTCAAAATTGAGTGCTGAACTTGCTATGTGCAACACTTGGGCAAAGCTTACAAAGAACCAAAATGTCCAAAAAATATTGAAGAATGTAAGAGTCAATGGAGAGACAATTGTACTACAAGATATGTTTCATCAGTCAAATAGAATTCTGAATCAAGAGGAATTCAATGAAAAGTTCAATACAAACATTAATTTTCTTGATTATTTGAGTCTCAGAAATACAATTCCTAATCAGTGGTTGAGCGATATTAAGAAAAACGGCGATAGTTTAAATAACTTTGAAAGACAAAAACAACACATAAAAAAGTTCATGGGCCAAAGTAAGATAAGTAAAATTATATATTGGGAACTTATAAAAAGTGAAGAGACAAACATAAAGTACATCACTGGTTGGAATAAAGATCTGAATCTGTTACTTAACAAAGAAGATTGGAAAATGATCAATAGAATCAATAAAGTCAGCAATTTTGAACCAAAATTAGCTTCTTTCAATTTTAAAATTCTTCATAGATTTTTGGCCACCAACACATACTTGAAAATGTGTGGATTAGCAGAATCAGATCTGTGTACTTTTTGTAAAGTAGAACCAGAGTCAATTTGTCATCTCCTCTATGAGTGTAAAGTGATAATGGAACTCATAGTAGTCATTAAAAACTGGTTACCAGAGGAATTGACAGGACTTTGTACAAAACAGAATATTTTAATAGGACCAGTATGTATAAATGATAGAACAATTATCCTGACAAATATGTGGAGTATATTTAAAAGATATGTGTACCTATGCAAATACTCAATGTTAAGACCTACCTTTAAAGGATTTAAAGCAAATGTAATATCTTATTGTAATATTGATAAGCAAATAGGCAGAGAAAAAAGGTGGGAAATTATGGGTACTAGATTAGATTAGACTAGTGTGGTTAGATGCCTTAAAAAAGAATATGATGGAAAATTGTGTGATTTCTATGATATTATGAATATTGTATATGTTAATGTAACTGCTTTCAAATGTTTTCTATGAATAAAAAAGGAATAAAAAAAAAAAAAAAAAAAAAAAAAAAATTATATGGATAGCACAGATGTCCTTCAGTTGGGAATAACAGTGCAGTGGGCTAGGGGGGTGTTTACCCAAATTCTCAACCTGACTTAGGGCCTGGGGTAGGACACATGAAAAAGTGTATATATCAGTCATAAAAATGTTACTATGAGCGGTAATAGAAGGCAGTTACAAGATAGGGAATGAATGGAAGTCTAATAAAGATCGTAGTCTTAATTTTTCAAATTGAAAAAAATTCACAAAAAGTTTCAATCACAAAAATTGGAAACCTGCAGCGTATTTCAATGTCGTGGTGCACAACCTACATAGGGTAGACGTATTCTCATCGTAGAAACCGAGTACTTCCAAGCATCAAACTTCGGCATTGCGGGGAAAGGCTCTATTATGGTTTTACTAGCTCTTTGCCTAAGACTTCGAAAACTGTCCGCCATTTTTAAAACACAAGAGTTCCCGCGCAAAATTAATTCACGCTCGCAAATAGAATTATGTTCCCTCGAGACGTGGAAGCACAATGAAATATCCAAGGAGACGATTTTGTTACCGTATGGATCGTTTAAAGTTGTTCAATTGTCGTTTAAATGGTACTTTCATTCGCTATTTAGATGAAATAGAGCTATAATTATTTGCGCAAAACATTGGTATTCATGTTACACTGTACGAAAATAGAGTATTTCCCCGGGAATGATGCAACCGTTCTGGACTCGGTTCTTGGTGATCAGACGGTCCCAGTAGAACCGTGAGGTCAAAAACCGTGGTTAATCGAACAGAACCGTAACCGACCCTTCTCTAGTATTAACCCTAGACGTGTGCTGAGTGAGTTTACTCGCTGTGACGTCACATTCCATGTAGACGATCAGCGAATTTACTCCTCACTTGATTATGTTGAAATTGTTTGCAAAAAGTCAGAAGTCATTACCTTAATTAATTTGCTGCTATTATGTCACCACCAAAAGTGGTGACATATTGTTATGGTCTCCGTTTTTTGCGACGGCGGTTGGCGTCCGGCGGTTGGCGTCCGGTGGTTGGCGTCCGGCGGTTGGCGTCCGGCGTCTGTAACAATTTCTTACAACTTCCTATAACTTAACAAATACTGTTTAGACTGACTTCAATTTTTTTCTAAATCATCTACATGTTCTCAGAAGTTCAAATCTGACTTTAGATTTGACATTTGACCTTCAATGACCTTCTCAAGGTCAAAAAGGTCTTTTTTCAACTTGCTTCACATTGACTAAATTTTTTTTCAAAATCATCTACATGTTCTCAGAAATTCAAATCTGACTTTAGATTTGACTTTAGATTTGACATTTGAGCTTCAAATCTGACTTTATATTTGACATTTCACCTTCAATGAAAAGGTCTGTTTTCAACTTGCTTCAAATTGACTAAATTTTTTTTTCAAAATCATCTAAGTGTTCTCAGGAATTCAAATCTGACTTTGGATTTGACTTAAGATTTGACATTTGACCCCCAATGACCTTCTCAAAGTCAAAAAAGGTCAAAAAGGTCTTTTTTCAACTTGCTTCAAATTGACTAAATTTTTTTTTCAAAATCATCTACATGTTCTCAGAAATTCAAATCTGACTTGAGATTTGACATTTGACCTTCAATGACCTTCTCAATGTCAAAAAAGGTCAAAAAGGTATTTTTTTATCTTGCTTCAAATTGACTAAATTTTTTTTCAAAATCATCTACATGTTCTCAGAAATTCAAATATGACTTTAGATTTGACATTTGACCTTCAATGACCTTCTCAAGGTCAAAAAAGGTCAAAAAGGTCTTTTTTCAACTTGCTTCAAATTGACTAATTTTTTTTTTCAAAATCATCTACATGTTCTCAGAAATTCAAATCTGACTTAAGATTTGACATTTGACCTTTAATGACCTTCTCAAGGTCAAAAAAGGTCAAAAAGGTCTTTATTCAACTTGCTTCAAATTGACTAATTTTTTTTTTCAAAATCATCTACATGTTCTCAGAAGTTCAAATCTGACTTTAGATTTGACATTTGACCTTCAATGACCTTTTCAAGGTCAAAAAGGTCTTTTTTCAACTTGCTTCAAATTTACTTAATTTTTTTTCAAAATCATCTACATGTTCTCAGAAGTTCAAATCTGACTTTACATTTGACCTTCAATGACCTTCTCAATGTCAAAAAAAGTCAAAGAGGTATTTTTTCAACTTGCTTCAAATTGAAGAATTTTTTTTTCAAAATCATCTACATGTTCTAAGAAGTTCAAATCAAACCTTCTTAAGGTCAAAAGGTATTTTCCAACTTGCTTTAAATTGACCAAATTGTTTTAGGTGGTGACATTTTGTCATGTTAATGCCTTGTTCTTCAATTGTGATGGTTTTGATAGTTGATGGTGTTGTTAACATTCACACAACATAATATTTTAACAAAAGTTAAATAGACACAATAATTAATGAAACAAAAGTATTTTTGAACTTTATATTTCAAAAATATTGACCGGAAGTGAACATTTTTTTTTATTTTTTGGATTAAATTGAAGAATACTGTAGATTGGGTTAATTTGGCACTACTTAATTTGGTGATTTTGCCATTTTTGGCATATTGGCGGCTATTTAATTTGGCGGATATGCAAAAAAAATTTAATTAACTTATGCGTTGTTTGCGAATTTTATGTTAATTTTTTCTTTTGAGGACCACTGGCAATATTCACCACGTTTGTACATTTTTGTGAGATCATCCTTTACATTTTGCACCTCGATTGATGCTGCTACTATACTGCACTTTTCCTTTCTAGTTTTTCCCTGAGTATTAATAAGTGACTGACCAGTTCTGAGCCAATTTATGAGAGACATTTTTTCATATTTTTGGAAAAAACTAAACCGGAAGTGACCTAAATACACTCGACGAAATACCCTAGATAATTCCCGGGGATTCATTCTAAATTTTGGCGAAGATTTATATTGGCGAATTTTTCAATTTCGCCAAATTCGCCAAATTAAAGCGGGTGCCAAATTAACCCAATCTACAGTACTCATCAAACATGAGGAAATTGATCACAATGTATGATCAGGTGATGATATAGTTTAGTTTAGTTTATTTATTATTATTTATTTATAGTGGCCAATCTTATAATTCAATATAATATAAAAAAAATTAATGACAATTTTACCCAGGCTATGCTCTGTTTGTTAGGTTCCTGAAATCAGCTGGAGGCTACAATGACTGGCCCAAGTCTCGTGGAATCTACCACAATGACAACAAGACATTCTTGGTGTGGTGTAATGAGGAAGACCACATCAGGATTATCTCCATGCAGATGGGAGGCAACTTGGGAGAGGTTTACAGTAGACTGGTAGCTGTAAGTAACCATCTCATAATAGGAACTGTATGCTCAGTGTCTTCAATATAGTCAATATTCTTACATTCTTTCATTATCTAGATTTGATATCCAAATATCACTTTGAAGCTAGGCTTAATATCATCATTTTTACAAGAGTAATATTTATGTTAGATAAATATTCACCATTGAGTGGGCGATTATGTAGCATCATTGTCTGTCTGTCTGTCTTTCCATCTGTCAGGGGTGTAACTTATATAATAGTGTACTAATAGTGTATAATAGTGTGTAGTTTTCTTCAAATAGATGAATAATGATAAAATAAGAATAGAAGTTACAAATTGTAGATGATATGACAGATGCTATTGATAAGAGCCTAACATATTTGCTTTCTTTTATTTTATTTATCATATTGCATTGTATTTATTAATTCATAAAAATGACATACATATATCCTAGTAGTAATAAGTTGGTATTGTAAATTGCATTTTTAATCCCAGGGAATCAAACACATGGAGAGCAAGACCAAGTTTGCTACCAACCCCAGACTGGGCTATCTAACATTCTGTCCCACCAACCTTGGAACTACATTGAGGGCCAGTGTCCATGTTAAGATCCCACTCTTTTCACAGCACAAGGACTTCAATAAGATGTGTGCCAGTTGGAATCTACAACCAAGAGGTACAATGCATTTATAAACATCTGTAGTTGTTTTGTTCTATAACTTAGCCTGCTGGGAAACTCAACATTGTTAAAGTTCTGTCGATTCTATAAATACAGAAGACATTTTTTAAGAAAAAAGACACAGATGAATATTGTAAGCTTGGAAACTTGAAGGTTTTGAAACAAACTAAATGCTCTAGGTTGCAATATAAGAGAGATGTTTAACTACTAGTATCTATTACTTTATAGATTTCATTCCACTTTTAGTGATAATCTGATTAGATGTTGTTGCACTAATGTTTGTTTTAGGTATCCATGGTGAACACACAGAGTCAGTAGGTGGAGTTTATGACATCTCCAACAAGAGACGTCTTGGTCTCACAGAGTACCAGGCTGTCAAAGAAATGGCTGATGGCGTCATGAAAGTCATTGAAATGGAGAAAAAATTGGAAAGTGGTGAAAAGGTGGGCGAGAAAAAATCAAGTTCCTGTGTCCTGATTTAAATCCCTGTAGGGCTAGTATTAGTGGGTCTGAGAGACAGATTCATCAATTATAGACAACAAGTCAATGAATTTCAATGGAGATTTGGGATTTGAGACTGAAAGGGGAGCCCAGGAAATTGAAATGATCATCACTGGGAAATATGCTGATAAGGTTTAAAGACTCAGACTAACTATGCTTGGGTCCCAACTGTGCTGCATGTAATTCACATAACCCACCTGTAGTCTACACCCATCATTGAGCCTGTATTCAAGTTATGAAATGCTTAAATCAATGCAATCTTTTGTACTGAAGAATTACATTTAATTGTCTATATTTTCATGGTTATTTGTCTTATTTATTCCATATTACTCAAATGTCTTTGTTATATGCAGCACTGGTTCTGAACCCTTTGCAAAGTGGATGTGATTTTCCCCTAGCTTAGAAAGGCGTTGCTCTTCAAGTGTTGCATGAAACAATATGTTGCTGTGTGGTATTTGAAGATTTAAATCGTAGTGTAAATTATGCTTGCAATATATTCTATTATAATTGTATATAAGATATTTAAAAGATATTTACTCTGTATATATGGAGAGCAGCGCCTTTTTGACCAAACCTTACTAACCTGATTTACCAGTAATTAATGCAATTTAATATCATGCCATGAAAATGGAAAAATCAAGGAATTATTTTATGTCAGTATAAACACAAAAATTGATTTTTCTTCTGCATGGTGGCAAAACTATAAGAGGTTTCATTTTGGAAATTATGTTTCATAGTTAGAAGTGATTTATGGTAAGGTTTGAATATACTATATCATGTATATGGAAATCCATGGTAATTGGCACTTGCATCCTCGTGATCTCACCTGATAGCTTTACTATTACTTATTTAAAACCATTTTCTGTTGCTTGAACCTTTACTTATATTTTCCAACACTTTGCCGAAAACTTCACTCTTGCCTCCAGCTTTTATAAAGCTGTTAATTTGCCAAATCTCATTATTTCTGCTCCTGAAATATTGCCAAATTTCATCATATTAGAAAATATTTATTAATGGGTGAAAATGATCTGAGGTTTTGACAAGACAATGTCTTCTCCAAGTTATTCAACTGTCAATGTACTTTTATGTAGAGGGACCACCACGATTTAGGCTCATTGTAAGCTTCATGATGCATGGATTGTGTGAATTTAAGTTTGTAAATAGATATACTCGTATAGTTAATATAGCAAGTACTTGTACAATGGCATACCAAGTAGTTTCTTGTTTTGGGGCACACGTTTTTGCAAAATATATGTTGATATGCTTTGTTTTTGTACAGATTATATATTCTCAGATACTCTTTTGTAAATTTAATGCATGTTTTGAAAACTATTTTTTATCGCATAACGGACATTTTGTACTTACAACTTCTGAAAATCTTCTATATTTTCAATAATTTACTGTTTAAATCTTATTTTTTGTATTATGTTTCCCAAACTGCCCTGATTTGACTCTACCATGAGGCATACCTCTTACACTTCAAATGATCTCAACTGATTGAAGCTAAACCTAATGTTGTCAAATGTTACGTCCTTATGTTTCCATTATGTTGCCAAGGTAGATACCCTGGTTACCATAATGTTGCCATGGTTACCATGATGTTGAGAGGTTTACTCTTATCCTTGCAGGTCCAAAGTGGACTGTCCACCCCCATGCTCCTCCTGCTAGCAGGCATTCCCACTGTAATAGTAATAGGCGTACTCATTAAGAAGTTCTGGTCATGATCAAGACACTATAGACTTAGTCACATGACCATCACATGACCACACACAGTGACACCTATGTTTGAGAATGAGAATCACGTGATAAGCAGTTCAACACAATGACAATTTATGATCTGAATTAGACGACAGCTCAAAACCTGTAGTCACAGTCATATGTTAGTTTGATTGATTTTTTGAGTTTGGACACTGAAGTAGGAAATAGGTTTTTGCTTTGAGGATTTTGGGATTTGATTACACTTTTCGGCAAATGCAATTTGGAAAATCTAATCTAAATTCACCTGCATGTGTAATCTTGCATGACTTATTCATCTACATTTTCTCTCATCCTTTGTTGTTCTTCCAATTGCCTTTAACATGATGAGTGATTCATGAGCCATTGCTTTTCACCCTGATTGTTTAAGCCACTTTGTGTTCTGTATTGTTTGCATTTCTCTTTATTTTGCTTATTTCCCCATAAGGGACTCCTGACTGGTTTTGGTTTGTAATGTTAAACATATCTTTGTAACAAATGATCAAATGTTAAATGTTTTTCTTATTCTTAGTTAATTCTTGAATTTAATAATAGTTTCATTTTGATTCTTTGGCCTTGTAACTTAAATTCATGATGTGTTTGCAACTTTCAGATCTAATGCTGTAAGGTCACACCCATACCTAAAGGAGTCTAAATGTCCCACAAAACTTGTTTACTAACATAGTTAAAGCACTAGGCCTATTTATTTATTACTTATTCAAAGTAGAAAATGAAAACATTTTAAGGAAAGATGTTTGAACTTGTGACTTTTTCAATCTTACATTTCTGTATTCTCAGTAAATTCTACTTATCATATTGGGACTTGAAAGTATGAGAGCAATTGTAGATGAAGTATTAGGAAAGTTGTGTAATGATATTGCCAAAAATGTAGATTTTGCCTGGTCAGGAATTAGGCCATAAAATTTTGAATTATTTATTAGTGATATTAAAATATTGTGCATGTGTATGTGTTTGAAAGAGCTCGGGGCAGTGCTATTGGGATCTGTTTATGGTGAGCTTGTGCAGTCTTGAGTGTGTAGCGATTAGTGTGTCTTGTATAAGATATATGCAGCATGCATTGTTTATATGCAGGGGATATATGTACTACAGCGTGCATGATTTATGTAGCATGCAGGGGATCAACTTGATAGGTATTTCCTGAGAGACGATAGGACATTATCTAAGGTTTTTTTAACACACCATAAATGGATAATACAGAACTTGTCTATAAAATATGTTTGCTCCAGATGTAAGGCTGTAAGGTAACTTCCTAATACAGTAAACGTTTAGCCTTACATCTCGACATGTATCCAATATACCACTACACACCCTCCTGTCTGACCATTTGTTCATAAATTGTGTGTCATACTTAAAAATGTACCAAATTGTTTGCACTGAACAATTTTTGTACTCCTCTATTATCATATCTGAATTTGATTAAACTTAAACACATATCACTGTATTATTGGTTTGTGGTGATATAAAATCATGTATTGAATTGCGTCTTGCATTATTTCCAAAATGTTTAATTTAGTGCCCTAACATCAGTATTAGTAGTGTACTCACTGGCGAGGTAAGCTTTGTAATAGTGAAATTTTATATTTATCTCCATACAGTTAGTCTAAATTATAGGTTTACAATAATTGCCAAACACATGGGAAACCTAGTTACACCATTCTTATTTATTGTTTATTTAAAACTATAAAAACTCCAAAATATTGTGATAGTAAAATTAGTGAACATGCCAAAGGTATGTCTTTAATTCCATAATATACAGAATGTAAAAACACTAAAGATGTCAATAAATGTATACTCCAGACAATTTGTTGCCTTTGAATTCCTCACCAAAGAGTTATTTTTATTATTTCCAATGCTATGTACATGTTTGAATTATTATATACTGTAGTAAGTGGCTTTCACAAGGGCCTTCATGTTTTGCTTTAACACTGTTTTGTGTGGGAAATAAACAATAGAAATCAAAAATGCATGGGTTTTGTTATAGTGTGTACGAATATACAATCTCTTATAGATCACACCGGAATAGCCTAACTACGGTAAATTCAGGCACGGTTGTCACAAATGGCGAACATTACCGTCGCTTCAATGGTTTAATGACTTGGTCCTCATTTCATGGGATTTTATCGTCGCTAATTCTGTGCATGCATTAAGCTCTTGTGACAATATATCATATGAAATCCCATTTTCGATCAAATTGGGTCGTGAATCGCCACAACATAGCGTTTTCGATATTGTCAATGACAACGGAATCTGAATTTGAGTAATTTAGAAAGATAACGGCATATGGTAATTACAGTGTCCGTTGTCCCGTTTTTCATTTCGATTGGTTAAATTAAGACTTTATTTCGATGGTAGAACATTATTAACTGTACAATGAGTATAAAGACACTTTGATTGATTGTTGTTCCAAATTAAAGGAATTTAGTCTAGGTGCTCTATTAAACATAAAGTTCATGAAAATATAATTGAAGCGACGGTTATGTCCGCCATTTGTGACAACGGTATCCAACTTTACCGTTGTCCGGCTATTCCGGGGTGAGATGAAATACTGTTTCATTATTTGACTGTGCTCGACTGTACATACCAGCTTGTACATAGGATACCAATAATTGCATGCCCAATTCAGGCCACTGGAGACATTTTATATATATTATTTATTATATTGGCCACAGAAGAATCCCAAGGTTCTGAACTTCATGTTGCATAATCCCATTCGGTGCCTACACGCAGCAATAGCAAAAATGCAAGAATTATAAAAAAGATGGCGAACTAGTCTAGTCCGCTAGTCTAGCTACAAGCTTGTATGACCCCCCTCTACTTGACTAAACACCTCACACAGTTGTGTTGTGCAAGGGCTTGTACATAGCGAGACTAGTCTTCCACTAACGCGATCATCAGCTCCGTGCCTCGCGAACTACGTACCTTCCACTCGAACCAAAGTTCTCAAAACGCGAATATCGATTCTTTAGTGGTGAACCACCAATTCCTCTTTCCCGAACATATTTCTCCACTCGCGAACTGATTTCCCACATCGCGATCGGGAGCCACAAAGCTGTTTGTTTAGCGATGGGGAATTCGAATGTGATGTTTCGAAGAAATGGAGGACGAAGTGGCTCAGATAATCGGAGTTGCCTCCATTTTGGTCTGTAACGCGTTGCAGCCTCGTTTTGAACAGCTACGCGTGGCTGCGCCGCGTCACCTCAACCCACCTTGATATTGAGAAAGATTCATATTACGAAACAATTGTTGGTAATGGCACGCTCGTCACGCTATCACACCCACCCGGCTCATTATCGGTAGCGTAACTGCGTGTACCAAGGGTGAGATATGGAGTGTTAACATACCGTATTCAAATAACATAATCAAGATATGACCGAAATTACAAAGCCAAAATTCCATGTGTAAGTGATGAAAACGAAAATTTTCGATTCTTGTCAAGTAATTTGAAAGATAGGTACAGTGTAAGCATCACGATGATTTTTATGGACATTACAGATTGACACTAATCCAGGGTATGATGTTACACCCCTGGGAGGTGTTGCAGATATCTGTGGATGTAGATTGCCCGAGACTGGCCTGCAATGCAATTTAGTCATAACAACTGAAAAAAGGATTCTCCATTGCGATCGGGAGAAAAATGAGCGTTGATGCGGCTACTGATTAATGCGGGCATTAACTATTGCTAACTATAGCCAGCAAAATGTCCAGAACACTAGCCATATACATTCATCTCCAGCTAGATCTAAAGATGCCTTGGTAGTCTGATGATGCATCCTCAGAAACTATCTAATGAAATTAATTTGTTCCCATGTGACGTCATTGATTAACGTAAATAAGATATAATTCACGTGAAATTCATCAATATTACTAAACATCCCCGATAGATAGCCATTGGACATATTTTATTCTAATCATAGTGATTCCCAAGCTGGGAGCGATCGATGGACTATATTTAGCTTTCGCCTACTCAAAACGATACTGACTAGTGATAAATATAGATCTGAGAAGGTTATAAATAGACCACAACCACTGTTATACTGCGTAGACTTCCACAAAATGCACCGGGTTGCTTTCTGTGATTCATATGCATATACTCATTTGTTTTATGCACTTAATTGATATCACATGTGGTATGTTTCGCAATCCCAACTTTCTACCACAATAGTTGGATATCGTGAATGTCATGAGTGTCCTGGTTATGGGTATCAGAGCCGTCATGCTGGATTACTCTCGAAAGTGATTCAGTGAAATACGCCCTAGATTGAAGATACTGGTCGTCCAGTTGGTCCAAACCCCGATCCGAACCCACTGGTCCCAAATGCGTAAATAGTCCTTTGATCTAAAAAGATACTGAAGAATCGTAATATCTCACAAGATATCCCGAATAGAGTACACGCTGATGTCCAAAAGAGCATCAATCCGCATGTCAAATGTTCCCAAATATCAATAGTACGATTAAATAAAGATCAAATCTCAAATGAATATTCTTGATCTTCGATACACTACAAATCGAAATCAAACGATTATAATTACAAACCACGAAGTCTTGTTTTTTACACTTCGATTGCTTTAATATTATCAGACACTAAATTAGACAAATACGTTGTTCCAATCAAGAAAACACAAGCGATAATTCTCCGTCTATGATATAGCTGTAATTCACTTGGAACTGTTCATTGTGCCTGGACAATACGAGCGTTAATCAACACGTCAGCAGGCATCTTTACCAATAAGGCCAATCAATGAATTAAACCACACACTCAGAATCTACAAAAACAAACGGAAGACTGACAAACAAACAGTAACTATCGTGAGAGATCATAGCCTTCCATCATTTTGCTATTGCTAGTTGAAAACAAAATATGAAACGAGTATCAGAATCTGAACAATTGCAAATAGTTACCGACCCGTGACATTTGACAAACAGACAAACAAGGCAGTAAAATGCAAAATGTCACAACCTGCCATTTGTTACTGGCGCCGAACTCCGACCACCGAACTGCGTCCTCAAAAATTTGTAAAGTAGCGAATAAGTAAGTTCATATACCCTGCGCGCAGAGTCTAGTTATAAACTAAAGAAGAAGCTCTCTTTTAAAAAGCGACGTCGAACGATTGCAAAGAGTAGTTTAAGTCCATTGTTGTTTCAAGAATTTACTTCAAGTAAACTTGCATTTCTCGAAAGTTAGTAACTTTGCGAAATCAGTAACTTTGGAGCTTCATAGTGTCCATACGGTGCCTATTTTCGAACTTTTGGATAATTTTGGCTTCATATGCAATGAACCGAGGCAATTTGCTTTTCCATAAGAAGGTATTCCTCTGCAAAGCCTTATATAGTACAATGATATTCGATCAGTAATCATGACAGTGTGTTACAGGCCTAATCTATTATGACAAAGACAAATTGATTTTTACAGGAACACTTTTCGAATTGTTTGTCGTTTACACAGAGATATACAACAACAAAGAACGATGTGCAAGGATAATCTTAATTAGGTCAGGTCCCGTAGATAAAAAATAAAATAAACACCATGTCAGTCACGTCATCCAATATGCAAATTGGAGAGGATGACCTGGAATAATATACAATGACACTATAACACAGTGACATTACAAAAAAATACGCCCAGGGAAGAATTCCCAAGAGGCACTAAAATCAAATGCAAAGAACATAATTCAGAAAATTCCCGAACGTCAGTAAATGACGGTATATTCCATATTTTACACTCAAAGACAGAGACAGAAACCCGAGGGAAGACCCGAAGGAAGAGTTCTGTGTACTTTTACGTGCACCGATACACAGACATACAAGCACACACCACAACCATTTATAAATACATACATAGTATATATAGGAGTTGTGGACCACTGTCAAACACCCTGAATTTACCATCCATATAAATGGAAAAATAGATGGCATCATGGGTGTTGGTAGGGCTAGAATACATGGGCATGTATTAGGAAGAGTCACTTAATCTCATGATCTAACAAGTAATTCCATTTGCACTGGTGATCCACTCGATTACGCTGGTTACCAAAACGGTTCGTTTTGGTAACAAAATGTCGGAACGTCGAAGGTACGATTTTTCTCTCAGTTTTCCTTATTTCACACGTTGTAGGCAGAATTCCCACGACATTTTTTAACACAAACATGTGTCAGTATCATATGTTTAAGAAAATGTACATACGTGCGGACAAGTAGTTCAGAAGAAAACAGAATCGTCGATTTAATTCCTCACTTAAGTTACATAATCGGTTTTGGTTAAAAGTGTAGATCTTAACTGTTTTTCGAAAAACCGTTTATGTAACTGATGGATCAAGATGCTTGAAAGTGGGATAAACTAATCAAGGACATGAAGGACGGACAGACTCTCTGTATCCCTCATGAACTATGTTTGTGGGATAATAAAGATACATACACGGCTAAAATCAAAACAATTAGGTGGGTCGGAATTTCAAAACAGAACACTACATGGAAACTCTGATTACAGACAACAAACTTCAATTCTGTTTACATGATCGACAAAATCACTCGACTTTCGCTGTCCCAATTTACACATCATCAACTCCTTTTCTTTTATCCACCCTTGTAGTATAGGAAGATTAATCAGTTTGTCATGCCTATCAATAGTCCTGTTTCCTAAGGTGTAATGGATTTAACTGGAGTTGTCTCTACAAAATCATGATTAATATTACCCTAGATGGGTTGCTTGTATAACATCTGATTTATGTCAGGCTAAGAAACAGTTAGCTTAACTGAAAAAATTATATTCGGTTTTAGTATGATCTGATGGTGTATGGGTGAGATCATGACCGATGTCGTAAACTTTTGTTGCGTCGATCTTTGATAAGAATGTGAACAAAAGTTCAAACGTGAATCGCACATTCCTCTGCATTTGTTTATTAAATTCCTGTTCCTGTTCTTGTTAGTTGTCTTCGTAGAAATGTCGCGTGGTTTTACAAAAACTTATAGACCTACTTGTAATACATTGAAAATATAAGAAAGCAACATTTCGATTGTATTGTAGTTTATTAGTTTTTGCAGCCCGGACGCACATTTTGCAATTCTAAGTAGCAACTTATTATTGAAAAGCTTGCGCGGAAAACATACATCTTGGAATATAAGGAAACATACACGGGCTTTGCGATCATTGATATTTTCAAAATCAATCGTTCTACTAAAGCCTGCGGCGTGTGTGTTGATACCAACGACATTTAATGTGTGCTATTTTGATGTCATTACGATTTGGTTATCATAATCATGCGATATATACTGCAAATATTGCTTAATATTTCTCAAGAACAGCTTAAATGATTTGTTTGTCAAAAAAACAAAAGTTTTGTTTTGCCGGATTACAGCACATACAGGGCATCGATTGCGTTGATATTTTTCAAACTACATAAAAAAGCGAATGCAACTAACGCCTGTCGGCTACCGGATTAACCTACTCATTTAAATATGAATGGAATAGTGACAGGTACTATTCACATTTAAATGAGTTGCCCATAAAATAGTAGGTTAATTCGGTAGCCGACAGGCGTTAGTTGCATTTGCGAATACAAGCTTGGTTAGGCTATGTTGGTAGTTGCATGGTACTTTGAAATGAAAACGAGAGTCCATAAAACGTATACATTTCGGTTAAAAGAGCAAGCCACATAAGCCTGAGCAGATCGTGCCATCTATACCACCGGTCATCAATCCGCCAAAATTCACTGTCAGACAGGTCAACCCCCGGTACATTCAATCCAGGATTAGTATCACTTCAACCATACACTGCCCCACTAATCCACTAAGTATGCTAACATATAGGAGTTTCCCTAAGTGTACCATTAAAATAATCACATGAGACGGATCAACAAATGTAAATACTATAAAACTAATAATAAGAGACTGGAGTGAGAATAAAAGACTTCAGCCATTCAACAGTTTACACCTTAAATAGTTTGACAAATACAATTCATTGAAGAAAGAATTATTAAGTACTGTATATTGACTTTCAGGAGACTTCAAAATAACATGTAGGGTTGTACAAGTGATAGGTATACAATACATTTAGTATAAACTAATGGAGAAACATTTGAGAAGTTGACAAAACAACTGGAAATATACCACAAGATGCACCTGTAAGGACAATGATAATTGCCAATCAGACTGAGATTGACACCTGGACAGAGACCTGCAATGAACCGTCATACTTGTAAGTATAATCTAGGTATAATCAAATGGTTGGGACAAGAGGTTCTGTGACATGCATGTGACAAAATGCTATAGCTATCACAACTTGTGAAAAATTGGTTAAAACGATTACTAGTAATTGTCACTCACTGGCAGACTGCTGGTTGATGCATTAAAAAGATGGGTAAGCCACAACGTCAGAAGAATAACTGGTTTAGAGACTGAGAATCAAATAGCATTGTAGCATACCACAGTACTAGTAGATGATCTAAGGTTTTGTCCATTCTAATACTCATAGCATCTTTCTGTTTCACCTGAAACATTATCTCAGGGCTGAGAGGATTTGAGGTATCATGGTTTATCATGATGGGTTTGTCTATGAAGACAGAATTCGAGAAGGACTACATCCTTCACACATCATATAGCCTAGTGTTGGATTCTCCAAAACGAAGAGCTCTAGACATCATCGGCCAAGCTGTACAGTTGAAGCTTATAAGCTCCCATACACTGTTGTCAACTGCGATGCGTTCAGAATCAGCTCAGTAACCAGTAGTCTAGCTACAAGCCTCTCTGACCACCCTCTACCCACCCTCTCATAGTAGTGTGGGGGGTTACAAGGGCGTGTTGGTAGAAATTAGTTGACAATAGAAAAATCCAATAAAATACAAATTAGAGCGAAGACTTCAGAATAGTTTCCTGGAGTACTGAACAGGGTAGACAATCGCTTTGTGGTTCATGGTATAACATTCTTCACCATGATCTAAGCAAGAAAAGAAAAGCCCCGAGTGCCGGGCAAATCAGGAAAAGTTTAAACGTCATCAAACCACTCCAAGGTGTAAGTCAATATAGCTGTCGGAAGGACTCTTGATGCAGTTGAGGTGGATATAGTACTGTCAAATGCAATGTGAGTGTTTGAAGAGGATGTATCTAACTTGCAAACTGGCTCTGTTGGGTAGTGTGGTATGTGTCAACCTTCACTTCTCTCTCAGCGTTGAGATGCAGCTCAGTCCAAGTTTATTTTAAGCCGGGTTGGCCACATAATATAATTCTAAACAATCTGAAATGACGAAATATACAAAATAAATTAAAAACAAATGCTTGGGACCAAAGTTATAAATTTCCGAACAAGGTGGAGAATGTGACTCAGGTATATGGGACAGACAACGTCATTAAGATTCAAACATTGAAAGTTTTTGATATGCTATCACATGACGGATGGGAGTGTACAGTATGTCCCAATATTAACTTTCTAGACGCCTAATAGTTCTGATTAATATATGCAGGACACATTACAAAATGTACGATGCGAAATGTATATATGCATGGTTTGGTATCGATAAATAAATCATTGCACTAACAGATTGAGAAGAAAATCTTATTGATAGGAGCTGAATAATTAATACGTAATTTGTAAGGCATGTCCGGATCTTACCATAATCCAATTAAGGAAATTATGCCTTGACCAGTCTTTCGTCTCTTCAAACAATACGTATAAGGCACATCGGATGCCAAATCGTCAACAAAAGTGTTGTTGTCCAGGCAACCTGGTGTCTGGATAAAAGTGTCTCCCGTGGGAGATATTTACGCGTGTGAGTTTGATATCAAAGGCATGTATCTCTGGAATGAAGATGTATAATTTCTCTATTTGCAAAATAAATAATTCAATCTTTGATCAAATCAAAGTCCGTAGTCGAATGCATTGGTATACCTTTCTAGGAGGCGTCGTCCCTGGCCTCTCCCGCAGTGGCCTTCATCGATCAAAATATCTTGGGCAATAATGCCATTGTCATTGTTCCCAGAGCTAAACTATACTGCGATAACCGCACCGCGCGCCCCCAATAGTCTTGATCTCACCCAAAGTTCTTTCGCAAATAACCGACAATAGGTGGTCTGGTTCACCAGAATGCTGTTCCACCGTTCGAATGATATATAATTATATATCAATATAAGAAAATGCCCTAAAGATTTAACAAGGTTTCTTACATCTATTCTACAGTTCTATATTTTAGCGCCATACTTCATGTTTCGGGAGTCTCTCGCAGTTAATCCGATAGACCAACGATCGGGAAGTAAAACATGAACGTAGGAGGTTAGAATGCAGAGGGTCACATCTGTCTATCTGTTCGTTCAAAGAATTGCTACGTCGGGATTGTCTTGTTCGATAATACAACCTCAACCCAGCCTCCCGGCGGTTTTAGTTTTAAAGCTTCTAGTTTATGATGTTCCTTAGCTAGATAGCCATTATCATATATCACAAAACTATAGGAAATAATTCAATTTGCCACATAATGAAGTGTTATTCGTTGACCCAATGGGCATATTGTGTAGGCCTTCTGTGCCAGAATTATTTCAATATTTCTTCCTATAATACCCTCAGGCGATTAGAAATATGCATGGCTATATAAATATTAACAATAAAAAATTCCACCAATTTAAAGTGCCGTATTGGCCTAACAAAAAGCTATTGCGTTTACATATTAAGGACCACTCACTTGATCGTCACAGATCTTCCAGGTACTTGATTATTGGTTATACTTATACCTTTATTACTAAATAAATAAAGACTGGATTACTTCTGCTACCTTGTGGTTAAATTAGTTCTAAAAGAGCGCAAATCGTTTATTCTTTCCGTGTGAGAGATAACACACGTTAGAAGTATGGTCTTGGCGTTGTCGTGGCAACGGATTTATTAATTCATTTCAACTGCGCCGTGTGTAATAAATGTCGTTGTGTACAGATTATTGAACATAGATGTTGTAATGTACTAAAATACGATTATAAAAATGAACAATATCTTCTCATTGTTACTCTGATAATTACGAATTGGAAAATTGAATTGGAAATGAGCAATCAATTTTAATTCAGATGATAACATTCGTATATTAGTAATCCGTCTGTTTTTATTTATATGTTATTGAAGATTTATCAACCAGAAAAAGCTTCCGATGTTGATCATGGACCTGGGAAACATAAATATGATAATATTCATCTGCTTAGTTTAATTTTCATATGGGTAGAGGCATTAATAGGTCCCTGATATGGAATATATCAACTTAGATTATTCATCACTGGTTGATTGTGGTATACAGAGAAATGAATCCGGATGCTGGCCTAGCAGGCACAATTACGCATGCGCGTCGGAGAGGATGTTAATTTCAAGATGAAACAGACGGATTAACACGGTGTATCTCTTCTTATAAAATATAAATGTGTACTTTGATTATTCATTAAGCAATTAACACTCCAAATGGATATATACGTTGTGATATTATAATGAAAAGAAGAATAGGCCTAGCAGATATGTGAAATATCCAAGAGATAAACACAAGTAGATTTAGGGAGAACATATATATCAAGATGATAATGGCACGGATGAATACGAATACATTAAACTGGTTATGATATTAAATAGAAAAATATACTAAGCCATAATATAACCATGAACCGAGACATTATGATGGCGATTCTAAGGATGGAAGAGGGCAGGGAGTCATAATTCACCGTTAAGTGTGGCTTTGCCCGCAATAAACTCCAGGAAATTGCACATGTTGGAGAATATTAGATCTACCAGCACCGAAGGGGATATATTAATACAGGTCGGTTGATTCAGGCGTGTTTGGTTAGAGGATACATGAACATATTCTCATTAATATGATTTTTTCATACCTAAATAATGTTCAGTACCTAATTGAGTACCTAAAAGAGAGCAAGTGTGGCAAAATCAAGCTGTTCATACAATCGGTCGCCCTGAAAATTAAAATAGGATATTGTCTTTCCTAGAAAGCTTACAAATGTATGAGAAGTATGCTACAATATCAATATTACTCGTATTTTACTACTACCGGATAAAAATCCATAGTTTACAGCTGAAAACACTAGTCATTTTATCATGGTAGTATCGGATATTTCTTGGGGTCGTAACCTCCCTTTCCATACTACTTTGCTTAGTCCTGATAAAGACTGCACAGCGTGGGCTATAACTTATGTCTACATACATCACCGGTACATGATTTCAAACCCACAAGATTCCGAGCACCAGATTTGTCAAGACGTCAGTATATCGTGTTACAACTACAGCTAAACGCGATAGGTAACTAAGTATTCTAAGAAAAACCAGCTGTTGGCTGTACTAGACATGGTAGACACGATATCACAAGGCTTCTTTCATCTAGATACATGTGATATAGATCAAGAAGATGTGTAACTAGTATTAGAACACGTGCCTAGTATAAGATATATAGCTTTTGATACTGATAATTATACATATTCTAAATTTACGCTGATGATATAATGCGAAATATTAAATCGCGCGTAAGCGATCTAAATGGGACTTCCGTTTCTGGAAAATGTATTGTTCATTAGCAAACTGTAATATTGATAGGGCAGGTGTCACCATCTATCTTAAATCAGAGTTCTACACATGTATCTGCTTTGTTTTTGTTATTCAATGCGCTCAGAACCATGCCTTTATCGGTGACGGACACGGACGGTGAAACGCAAAACCACGATACCTACGTGTCTGTAAGACGGTCCGCATCGACGTCAGATACAGGTGTTACTGTTTATTTTAGACCGTGGCTGTCACCTCCCAATAATCCGGACCATCAATAAGCAATATTTTTATTACCATATATCGGTAGATCGCGTAGGCGTTTAACAATAGCATAGTAAGCTTTTTCAAATCGGATTTGAGACTACGCTGACAATTACACTCCGAAGTACGAATGCGTCACATGCTATTTATTAATTTAAACCTACATAGACAATATATCACATTATGTAATTCATTGTGTACATTTATTGGCTTAGATACTAAAACATAATGTATTTCAACGAGTTTACAATCATTCGAATATGACTGGTCAGTATCAGAAGAAGGTAACGACTGCTACCTTCTTTTAACACAATATGGTAAATGTTGATTTCGATATTTCCATCGAATTAAACGTTTCCGTTTAGCTTTGAATTTTCGATAATATCAGGCTTTTAATGGCATATAAAATCCACAAACTGATAAAGAGCTCCTATGTCATGTGGGGACGCCACGATAGGGATTATTTCTAATGTTTAGGCCAGGGTACGATAACGTGAATCTGTCATTGGCGGTCGACGAATTCACGTTATCGTTCCTAAGTGATAGAACATGTAGGACTGTTGTCCCTACTCGATATATGAACACTCCATCACGTTGTGAAGTTTCTTCATTGTATAAAACTTGGGTGGTCGAAATGTCAAAACCGAATCTCCACGTTAAAGTGGTTTAATTCGATGAAACTAAAGATTGACCAATGAACCGTTACTCGTTTACCAGTTTGATTTTTAATCAAAGTTCATACCTTGGTAGCCAGTGACTGTGATATTAATAAACGGTTCCAACTAGAAATCGATTTTAACAATTAGTTTTTAGATTTTAACAACTAGTGCGGTAGGTTAGTTCGAATATTTAATTGTCCTCCCATTAGAATAAACTTCTGCCAGACATCAACTCGACTCATCTGCAATAAAATAAAAGGTTACACACTCAAATAAAGTACCAGTAAATTACTTAGGAATTGACGCACTTGGAAAAAACATCATCTAAAAGGGCAAATGGTGAAATGCCATGCATTTTGAATGTTGACTAAATACCAGACTGAGATGCAACTTAATATTGCAACCTCAATAATACATGTTTCAATTAACCAGTTGAAAGAGAGGCTCAGTATCCAGTTGTCAAATTTCCAAATAGGCCCATGGCAGATTTCACCGGCCGTCATTCAAGCAACGTCTATGTCAATGAATGTGAATGACGCAATGAAGGTTTGTGATCACAAGAGTACGTGGTAGGAATGGACGGGTAAACAAAACCCTTTGAATGTTGCAAGGTTGATATTCTCTTTTACATAAGAGATGCTCAACTATGTAATGCATAAGGCGCTATATTCGAAGCTTGACAGCTGGAAAAGGGAAAATAATTAATTAATCTTGAATTATTAACCTAAACATTTAGGTATACACCACACTGTTCTATGTAGGTCTATGCATTTCACACATACACTCCCCTCCATAAGTTTGGCAACCTTAGCTCCCCCATTGAACTACGTGTTAAAGCCTCTTTACCATTGAAGTTTTATTTACTTAACCTACGATGAAAATACTTATACTATTGATGGAAACGTAATTTGACTTTATTTCCAATACCTCCAAATTTTCTCAAATTTTTTCCTCAATTACAATAAGTCGAAAATTGATGATACATTTGATGAATTTTTGAAAATCGACATTCCCATGTTAACCAATGGGAAATGGTAGGTTTGCCGCAAGTCATATGGTAGAATATCCATCCATCCGAGTCATTGCAAAAAATACGAGCTAGGCAGGCAATTGAATTTGCTAACTTTATTTAACAAAAAATTTATATGTTTCTTCAGGATGAACAAAGTAATAGGACTTTAAAGTCAAAATTGTTTTTCAAAAAACCTCTCCCATTGAAATTACACATTAGGCGAAACATTATTTTGAAAAATGACTTTGAAGCGCTGTAACTTAGTATTCATAAAATAAACTAAACACTCAGTGTACAAAAAAGTTGGACAATTCACTTTTCCGTATAAAAATATTTTTTGCTGAATCTTTTACTGAAAATATATCCTGATTTCTGATTTGCCCCGAACCCTCCATTTCCCATTGGATTACATGGGAATGACGATTTTCAAAAATCCATCAAATTTATGATCACATTTTGACCTATTGCAATTGAGGGAAAAAATTGAAAAAATTTGGAGGTATTGGAAATAAAGTCAAGTTACGTTTCCATCAATATTATAAGTTATTTCACCGCCGGTTAAGTAAATAAAAATTCAAACGTGAAGAGGCTTTAACACGTAGTTCAATGGGGGAGCTAAGGTTGCCAAACTTATGGAGGGGAGTGTACGCGCACGAGGGTAATGACACTAATCAGCGGTGTCCCGAGGAATTTTACAAGGGAAGCGTCTTGTAAAGAGCAAAAATGGTCTCCATCATCATAACTTGCCCTTTAAAATGTTTAAGCCTGGCTTCTCCACCTCTTGGGCCAGATCAAATGGTTCTACAACGTTCAAATATTCTTGGGAAATGAGGTGTAACTCATCAAAAAGAACTCAAATATATCAATCTTAGATATCCCAATATGCCCCAAGTTTACAGTGACATCAATTAACGTAAATACTGACGAAAATTGGTTTTGATACATAAAGAATTGGTTGCTTTATCAGAGAAGAATAAATTGAGACTACCACTGTGAGGATGTTGAAAATAATTGTATCCTCATCGTTGTAATTGGCTGTTTGACAGTTTGATCGAACACCACAATTCGCTAATGGTAAACCTATTGGCGTAGAAACATGTTTTAAATGTATTTGTAACAACTTTTTAACAGTAATGTCATGGGCTGAGTTTTCCAGCTGTGTATTAATAGGAACTGTAAAACAGGAAGTATTGTATCACTTACTTCAATGTCAATCTCACCCTTAGTGCTCCCTGGAAAAAAATATGGGCCAATATGTTCAGGCTCATTGTTAAATCTTATATCACGCTTGGGAATTTATTACGCATATATACCTTAGTGTTTGATTTCAGATGCTCCCAAAGATGTAACTTGTCTAAGAAGAGCGATACCCAACTATCACAAACCACACAATCACCACATCCTTGTTGTAACACCGAAGCCTAAGGCAACTGAATACACAACACCAGGAGATATTTTCCAGAATACAATGTTAATGTAAAAGGAACATGGAGTTTTCATGAAACATGGATGGATGCGACCATCATTGATCCAATTGTACATCGTAGAAAATAAATATAAACGTTACGAATATCACCACAGCAATACAATATATCATTTTGAGTATAAAATTTATCACCAGTCGTACTGGTCTCACCAACTGAAGTTATATATAGTTCCTCACATATAGATGTCTCTATGATTGTATGCATGAGTTGCTGTGTGCTGCCTGACACTGTGAAGCATGAAGAAACAGAACGTGCGTACATTATCCCTAATAGTCTGTACATTCACATATCTTCTCGTCGGGGCAGCTGTCTTTGATGCACTTGAATCTGAATACGAAAAGTCAAACAGGGCGAATCTTCAAAAACAAGAGAACCACTTTAAAACTAAATACAACATCACTGAAAAGGACTACGAGGACATCATAGAAAATGTTATAAAGTTAAAACCCTATAGAGCAGGCATACAATGGAAATTTGCAGGATCTTTTTATTTCGCCACAACAGTTATTACCACTATAGGTAAGTGTAATTATATGTGGGCTGGGTAGGGAAAATAAGTAGTATAGACAGTAGAACGATTTAGAAAGTAACTTAATGTAATATAAGATATGTAAATGCGTATTTTCCAGCAGTGGTGTGAGAGGACGGGGCTTCTTAATTATTTATGATTATGATATACGTGCTGTATAATGTTATGTAGTTACTAATTACTCACTCTCCGAATTTAATTCATGATGTTTGAAACAATTAAGGTGGCTGCTTACTCATGCAATTAGTAAATGGTAGATAGTGGTTGGCAATGGCATCGGCCTACTAATATTTGAAAATACCTAATTTATAGATATCAAACTTAAATGACAACTTTAAAATAAATGTTTTGAGTAACCGATTGATGTAAATGTTGATCAACTTGTGTAAGGTTTCAACGTGCAGTGTATCACTTATACATATCACCCCACAATCACACGGATTGTTTTACTGTCTCCAAAAGCAACGACATCTCTATTCCTCAGAATACATTATGCTAATTATAGGTAACTACATTTCGTTGGCATTGGAACATAGCTGAATGCCAGTTTAAATTGACATGTAATCATCGTGTATGTATCGTAATTCATAACTGTGCTGTCGCTGTGTTTGTTGTGTGATGTCATAATACCCACTGTATTGTAAGTGTATATGTAGTAACTTCTTATTATCCGTATAGTGAATAGTTATCACCCCATCCATCTGTTTACCTTGCGTCATGGACACCTAATACAATCACCTCATTACGAACCTGATTAATTATATGTTAGATGTAAAGGAGTTGATTAGAACAGGGTGAATAGAAATGTTTCATTTATATGCATGAAGTACTGTAGATCTAGAAGATTAATCACACATGTATGGCCTATTTGTAATGTGCCTGGATAATTGTGTATGATCTAGAAACCTAATATGATGGATTGGATACATCTGTGGATATAATTATAGAATATACAAAATATTGATACGAAAATGAGAAAACGTCCATGTCCAATATTGCAGTTGCAAAATCGAAATCCAATTTGTAGTGACAGAAATAAATGAATAAGTTCAACAAACGTATAGTCAGAAAGTGAATTTGAACAAGAAAATAATACATATCCAATATTTATATAAAATGAAACTTAAATGAATTAACTATTAATTTGGTATTCAACCAGTCTCTATAAATGTCCAAATAATTAAATCGTTGTGCCTTTCATCATTGCTTTATTCATAAATTAGGAAGTTACGTCTCCTCATTTCTTAAGTTACGGTACGTTTTCTAAATATGTATCAAACTACCATTTATAGTGATTTGGCTCGTTTCAATCGTTACTTTGTGGCTTCTGATTGCAAAACAGGAAATTGAAATCAGACCAGGCAGCCTTCAATGCAAAACGCATCCTCTCTATTGTATTATAATCTCTTAAATGAGTATATACTGATACTGCTGTTCCATGTTTCCCCGAGGTCCAGGTATACTATATGAAATAATAAAAGGAAGTCTCCGTCTGCAGTTTTATTATGATATCATGAGTTTAGTAGGAAACAATGGAAACCTGATGGTTGCTCCTTTAGGACATGCCATACATGACATGTTGACTTCACAATTGTCATATACATCTAAATGCACAACTGTATGCTAATCTGTAATCGATGGATTAGTAGACCCAATATGCAATGCCCTGAGAGGTATCTGGTTTGTGTTCCAGAACATCAATAGCCACGTGCTGTCGGTATTCCCAATCGAACACTCCACCACGTATCTATCATAAATGCCATACTAAAGTTTCCTTATTGACACCTACATAACTCTTTTGAGGGATTACGATTTATTGAAATTATTAAAATATATTATTTGTATTTGTTTGCTTCTGTAAAACGGGTTATATTAATGAATGTGCTCATTTTAACATAGGCCTGGGTGTCATATAGACATCATGGTCCACGTTTCTAGCTGGTTCTTGTAAATATGCAAAAGCAACACAATGTTTTGCTGTTATTAGTTGTATAAACAGAGTGTGAGACCTCAGAATAATGATACTTCAGTTTTGTTTTATTAGTAACATCATATCCATTGTACAGTCATGCATTTGTTATGGCACTAAAGGTCGGGCAAAAGGTATCATCGTAAGAAATTAGATTGCTGAATTATAGCATCAGAATATTTATGTTGATACATCCGGTATTAACAAAACGACAGTGAAACATATTCATTCTTATTTTTTATTCTTACATACAAATAAAAAATGTCAAGTTATACTTGTATTTCATCCCACTCATAATCAGGTTGTTTTTCTCATATTAGTGCACTGTATGGTACACGCTGTGTCTACATCAACGCACTTTCATTTAACAATTATGGCTGATGCATTATAAATAGATAATCACACAAGTACCAAATATTACACATGGGAATTGCTTTCTTATTATAAATAGATGATCCAAATATATATTGTACCAAACATATTGCAATCAGCAGCAGCTGCAGGCCTGTCTCAATATGGGTTTTAACTGTATTGTGGAGCACGTTTATAGAAGTGCTCGATTATTACCTGCCCCCCACTGTGAAAAATAACAACTAGAATGATATATGTTTTAAATATGGCAGAGTTACTAGTTAATATCGATCAGCACTAGTAATTAAGTCATAGACATTTGTATGTGTTAGTAATATGGTGAGAAAAAACTCATTATTCTATTATATTGCTTCACATTACACTAAAAAGACGAACGTAACGAAGCAAGGCAAATATCTCTTGTTTGTTAACAATACGCAGTGTTGCATTATCACGAACAGTGAATACATTTTAAACAATTTTATGAACCACTATAACTTAGCAATATTTCATATTGATATTAATTATGCAGGTTGATACCATACATTTGTAATGTAAAACATCTGCTATTCAATTTAGTCCACCAAATAACAATGAATAATTTATCAATTAATTTAGGTTTTCGGTTTTTAAACATGCCTGAACAATCGAAATGTGTCTCACGTTGACTTTATCAGTTACCATAAGTTCATAGATACATGCATACTCCCAAAGCCAAGATTTCCCATTTTGCAATTTCGCTGTGAGTGCTTTAAGCTTCCAAAATGCTTCCACAAAACATCTGTTACTGTAGTCTCTCAATTTAAATCTAGTTCAGGTATGAGTCATTCGGTGCAAATGATGGATTTTACTGAGATAAAATTGATGAAATGCAGATTGGTCCAAGTGTAGCACTACACACCTGTTTGAAGAGATTACTATTTTTGGAGTTTGAAACTTGCTGGAAAGTACCATGTCTTGCATGTGGTGATAAGTTCAGTAAACTATCTCCTATGGTTATCTAGTTGCTTGAAAAACGAAGGGTCCCTCAACACATCTGTGTTATGCTTTTTAGCTTGAGTGGAATTTGTATGCAACGACATGAAATACAGAACCAAAAAGACCAGTTCACAATACCAATCCTGTATCTACAAATTGTAGCACAGGAGGTATTTCTAACTGTGTCCAAGTCTTTATCAGGTGACCCATTTCTAGCAAATGAGATTTGTGTGTGTGTAGCAATAGAGCATAATTGAGAATGTGATCACAGTCATCCTTTAACCTGTAAATTGATTTCCTTAAGTCTAGCAATTTCCACCAGCTTTCAGAAGTCAATGATTCTAATAAAATCTTGAAATTAGTTCAAGCATGTACAAACTAAGAGACTATCAATGCATTTATTGTATCCCAGTAGATGTTTCTTCATAGAGGCAGATGCGATTTATGACATATGATTATGTATTCATATGCTTGATATTATTCCATTATGAAAATCATGACGTTTAAAGAATCCATGACAGCAAGGTGCATGTGGGTTTAGATGAGGAATTATACTCCGCAAAGGAATATCAAATATGTAAAACATATAAATAACTATATGGTATATGAATCTATTATTAGAATATTCTGTCACAAACGTGGCTATTATATTGATCCTTAAAAAATAGACAAAAACATTTTCAAGATAAAAAACATTTCCATTTGTAAAAAAACATTTTCATTAAGTCTTTTTGGGATTGGTCATTGTGACAATATACACGGTTTTAGAACTGTAGAATGTAAGCATACACGATGACAATGTAATTGGCAAATGTATAACCTGCATATGGAAAGGTTATTACAGTTACAATTACACCGCAGCTGCTCAAAATCGAAATTAATAAAAATCTAAGATTGGCTATTAAATGAGGTTAGGCTGACCGTCCAAATGGTTGTATATCTCTCCAAGAGCCAAAGATACCATATCATTCGATAGAGCATACATTGTAACACTCTGTTGGTTGAGGATTACATATGAAATATGTTTACGCTATAAACCATCGACCTTATCTGAATATATTTTATTTTACTACTATTTTATTTCATTTTGTCAATATTGAGTGCTGATACAATTTTTTCTAGTCAGTTGACCTTTAGAAAAGAAATAAACACATATTATTTATTATACGTTTAGTAATGTAATTATGATACGTGTTGCATTTTCCTTTTCTTGGTTAGCTTTAGAGACCAAAGTGATGTTCACGAGCCATATTCCAACATTCACCGCTAATAAAGATGGATTTCACAGTGATATGTCTCAACACAATGACAAATGTGACAGAAATCCAATAGTTTTCCTTCGTAGGATATGGGAATATTATTGTAAGCTTACTAATGTTTTCATTTGACCATTCACTACTTCATACATTCGACTCTTACTAATACCCTTTGCATTCGTTTGACTTCAATTCTTAAAAGAGAGCTTCGTCTTGTAGTTTAACTAGACTCTGCACGCAGGGTATCTTGCTAACTAAACCCCCGATGAATTTTGAGCAATATATATCCCCCAATCGACCCCTCGGTTAATAAAAAGAAATTGTCGAAAGTGAGGTTGTTTTCTAACTACAATCATTCATGGTTTCTTTTGGGCCACCTGAGAAGATTCAAGTGTATGTTTTAAGTATTAAGACACAATTAAAAAATAGATGAATA